CATCTTCATCATTATTGTTATAAGTAATATAAAATATGATATATTATAAATAAATATTTATGTTTAAGCCTCTTGCTTCCCTTGAAGTTGGGCAATAATTTAAATTTTTAAAGCTTTTTGTTACTTGTATCTTGGTTTGCATTGTATAGATTAATAAATTATGTGGATTAATAAATAGCAATTTGTAAAAAGTTAAGGTTTGCATGAAGATGCTAATAATATATGGGAGGGCATAAGATTATACTAGTTTTTTAGATTATGCATTCCATCTCAAATGGTAGTTGGGTTGGTTACATTCTCAAATGACATTTTTTTATGATCTCATTTGTATTTTCAAAACAACATTAGACAATAGTCTGAAGTGTTGACAGTTTTGAAGAAGTCCTGTGCAATGATGCTTCATCAGATAATAAGTGATATTTTAAAGCTTGTGACGGTCAGCAAAGCGTGGCTGCAGCTACTCGTGTGTCAGTTTTAAAAGACAAGGACAGGTACCCAAAGGAGAAGAAGCTGTCAGCCTCTTTAGTCACTTGAGGCTAAATGTCTTTAGGTTAAGAATGTTTGGATAGACACTTCTGTTTAACTCTCCTACTAAATATAGCTGAAAGGTGGAGTTAGACTGACCAGCAAGAGTCTGTGGGGCTGTTGGCACCAGGGTGGTATCAGCAGAGGCCTGGTGGGGAGCCAGAACTCTCACGCTCTGCAGTCCCACCCACCCAGAGGTACCACGATGCGTCTGTCCTCCCTGCCCTGGGAATTACCAAAGGCGGTAGAGTTTTCACTCCTGAGTGATGGTACTGAGCTGGATCCTCCTTACTGTGTCACAGAAGACCTGCTAAAACAAGATTTGAAAAGATCCAAAGTCTCAAAACAATACCCAGAATATCCAGGTTTCAATAAAAATAACTCCACCAAGAAGCAGGAAAACCTCAACTAAAATGTGAAGACAGTCAACAGACACCAACCCTGAGACAGCACAGATGTTAGAATTAATGCAGCCTTCAGTAAGCAATTAACAAACCTGCTTGAAACAAAAAAATAGCAGCCCCAGCAAAGAAATAGAAGCTATAGAGAAGAATCAAATGGAAATTTTAGAACCAAAAAATAGTAATACTTGATTTTTTTTTTTTTTAAGCAAATGCAGTTGAATGGGCTCAGTGGAGAATGGAGATGACTGAGGAAAGAATAGGAGAACTTGAAAAAGAGGAAAAGAATTACTCAATCTGAACAACATAAAAAAAAAAAGACTGAAAAAGTAGTTTTAGGATCTTTAGAACTGTTTAAAAAGATCTAACAGTCATGCCTTTTTAGTACTGAAAGGAGAGAAGAAAAAAGTGACAGGGCTGAGAAAATAACAATAATGAAAAATAATAGCAACTGAAAACTAGAAATAATAGCTGAAAATTTCCCAAATTTAATAAAAGACATCAAGAAGTTGAGCAAACCTCTTACATGAAACCCAAAGAAATCCATGCCAAGATATATCATAGTCAAACTTATTCCAACTAAAGGCAAAGAAAATAATTTTAAAAGCATTCAGTAAGAAATGGCACATTGCCTGTAAGGCAAAAACTGTTTGAATGACAGTGAATTTCTCATCAGATAACATGGAGGCCAGAAAGAAATGACACAATATTTTTGAAGGAGTAAGAGAACCGAACTGTCAGCAGAGAAGTGTATATCCATTGAAAATATGCTCAGGACTAAAGAACAGTGTCATTCTTAGATGAAGGAAAGGAAGATAATTTGTCATTAATAGATCTGTCCTAAAAGAATGTATAAAGGAATTTCTTGAAATAGAAAGGAAATGATAAAAGATGGAATCTTGTTATGTAAAGAAAGAAGATAGAATAGTAGCAAGAGTAAAAATATAGTAAATATAGTAGCCTTTTCTTCTTGAGTTTTCTAAATAGTGTTTGACATTTTCTGTTTTGCTATTTTCAAAAATTTTAACACTATCAAATGTGGTTCTCAGTGTATGTAAAGAAATATTAAAATTATAATGGGGACAGGTAAAGGGCCTTGAAGGTAATATTTCTGTACTACAGCATATGAAGTGTTGACACCAAAATGAGTAGTGATAAATCATATATAATGAAATACCTGGAGCAGCCAATTAAAAAAAAAATCTATTCAAAGAGATGTGCTCAAATACATTTAATTAATTTATTTATTTTTTTCAAATACATTTTAGATAAATAAAAATGGAATTCTAAAATATATTCAGGTAACTATAGGAATAAAGGAAAAGAAAGCAGGTAAAATTAAAAAAAAATAAAAATTAATAAGTTCTAACACATCAGTGTAAATGGTCAAATAAATGGTCATGTAAATGGTCAAAGTTCAGCAATTAAAAGACAGATTAACAGTGGATTAAAAAAATGACACACTATATGCTGCTTACAAGAAATCATTTCAGACATAACAGTAGAGGCAGGTGGAAAGGAAAAGGCAGTTTTGTTTGTAATAGCCAAAAACTGAAAACAACCAAGATGCCCCTCAGTAGATAAAGTGGTTAAACAAATGGTGGTATATTCATACTCTGTAATACTACTCAGCAGTAGGAAGTAACTCTTGATACGTGCATGAACTTGACTAGATCTCAAGAATAAACTGGGTGAATAAAAAATTCCATCTTTAAAGAACACATACCATATGATTTCATTTGTATACAGAGATGGAAAGCAGGTTGATGCTTTCTAGGGTTTAGGGATAGTTGGACTGAGGGTGTGACTATAAATTAGTAGCACAAGGGAGACTTTTGCTGAAGTGGAACACTTCTGCATCTTGATTTTGATAAGTGATTAAACAAATGTATGTGTGATAAAATAGCATAGAGCAGTACACACATACTGTACCAGTACTAATTTCCTGGCTTTATGTTGTGCTGTGTTATAGTTAATCCAAGACGTAACCAGTAAGGGAAACTGGGTGAAGAGTAAATGACCTCTCTGTGTTATTTTTACAACTTTCTGTGAATCCCTAATTATTTCAAAATGTTTTAAAAAGCAAAGAGATAAATTATGAATAAGAAGAATTTGAATGTCTTCAATGCATTAATATATTTTATGCATCTTCAGGTACAGGAAAGCAAGTATCTTCAATGCTTATGTTAAAATTCTAAAATAGTAGAATGCTTCCTATTGTATGACTTTTTAAAATTTAATTTTTCTTTGTTTTGGCATTGTTTGTGCTCAGTCATTTCAGTCGTGTCCAACTCTGTGCCAGCCTGTGGACTGTGGCCTGCCAGGCTCCTCTGTCCATGGGATTTCCCCAGCAAGAATCCTGGAATGAGTTGCCATGCCCCCCTCTGGGGATCTTCCTGATCCAGGAATGGAACCCTTGTCTCCTGCATTGCAAGTGGATTCTTTAGCCACTGAGCCATCTGGGAAGCCCTTTATTGGCATTAAAGAGACTTATAATGAAGAAGCTTTGAATGCTCTTTAGCCTTTATTTTATTCTTTTTAGTGTGTTTGCTTCCTATTAGAGACCTGTTGGATTTATCTGTTGCTTACTTAACCCTATCACCTCTAACACAGCCTTATTTCTGTTTCCCACTTTTCCACTATACGTAAAATATTCATTTCAATTAGATCATTGTTCCGGTGTTTTAGTAGGATGGTAAAAACTATTCATATCTGAGATATGATTCCTTTTCTACTCTTGTACAACTTTGTTTTTTCTCCAGAATTAATAATTGTCTTGTGTTCTTAACTTGCTTAGTTTTTTTAATATATCTTTGATTAATTGAATCCTACACTCTCTGAATTGTAAATATCTTGCTGTTCATTTTGAGTGTCAGTTTCCCCATTATCCTAATTTAAAGAAGGAGTTGCACATAGGTTTGACTTTTAAAGCTTTGGTATAGAGAAAATTCTCAAAAGTAAAACTTCCTTGTAAAACCAAGGTGAATGTAAATTATCTTTGCTACTTTTTCTCTTTACACACATACAGTGTCTAGTTGTAGATAGACAGATGCATATTTATTTCAGCTTAGGTTCTCGTAGCTAAGGGAATCTTTAGATATTTTTAAAGAGTCTATATCCTCATCAGTCTCAAACTTGGTAACATAGAGAAGTGGGGGAGAGCCATGGAGGATAGGCCAGAACACTTGGGTTCTAGTTCTGATTTATTTGCTAATTCACATATTCAATCTAGGATAATGAGGGTAACCTCCTTGGCCTCAGTTTTCTTTTCTCTTTAATAATGACAGGATCAGACTGGATTATAACTGAGACCTCATCTCTCTAGTTCAGATGTGATTTCAGATAGATACATGGTTTAATCCTGACTGTATATATAGAATATCTAAATTAAGAGTGTTTTCATTTTCACTATTTTGAAAGAATTACTCTGATGTTTTGAGAGAAATTGGATTAAATAGCCTAAAGTAATTTCTAAAGAATTGAAGAGATGGGAAATTGTAAGACAGAAATGGGCTATAAATATCATTTTTCTTGTACTTCAAATTATGGTATGGAAATTGTGGTTTTAAATTCCTAAAGGCCCCTAGGAAAGGAAAATTCTAAGTCATCTAGAACTTTTTGTTTACTATCCAGTAGATCAGATTTGACAAATAAAAGGTGCTTTGAAACAATGTGTGGCTTTTATGGTGAGTTATTTAAATTATAGGCTATAGAAGCTTGAGGGCTTCCGAAGAGTTCTTGGTGGTCCAATAGTGTTTAGTTGATGTAACCAAGGGAAGAATGTACTGCTTTTCATTTGAAAATATTTTATTTAGTTGTGAATGTGATATGAGAGAGATTTCATATGTGGGATACTTCATCCCTTCTCAGAGGACTTTAAGGTGAATTACGTACACTTGAAAATCAATTTATAAGTTCCTTACTGTACCTGTTGTTATACTTTTGCATGTATTCCATGATGATAATATGCCTTTTTATGGGATCCTCTGAAAAGCAGATATGTAGTTTAATTTTAAGAACAGATATTTGTTCATTGGTTATTATTCACTAATAACATATTTTATTGGTTTTCAGGTACTAGAAGAAGCAGAAGCTCAACACTTATATCAGTCCATTTTGCCTGATATGGTGAAAATTGCACTCTGCCTGCCAAATATTTGTACCCAGGTTTGTGGAAATGACTTCTTCCTCAGTAGCTTTCTTGAGACTCACAATTGGATTTGTTTAAACTCAAATTATCAAGGTCAAAGAGAGAAGAGAGAGATGGAAACAGTTTTTGCCAGAGTGATAATTTTGCTCTACTAAGGAAAAGGTTAGAGGTTATAGAGAATACTGCAAGAGGACATTAAAAATGCAGCAGTCAATTTCTGAGCTTCAGTTTACAGTGTTGGTGTTTGCTTACTCATACTTCTTTTTCTGTTTTTAAAACAGTCTTTAACTTTCAAAAAAGGATAGTCAGTGTTTCAAAACATACTAATCAATTTAGAACATTTTATCTTCAAAATGGTTTAATACCTACACCTTCCTCTTCTCTCTCCCATTGTAAAGCAAATGAATTCACGGTACATTCTTTTTTCTCCTTTAAAAATGTATGTGTTTTTTTAATGTTTTTTTTATAGTGATAGAAGTCACATAACATAAAACATGCTGTTGTAACCGTATTTAACTGTACAGTTCAGTGGTGCTAAGTACATTCACATTGTTATGCAGCTCTCACCATCATCCATCTCCCAGATTTTTCACCTTGTAAACGGAAACTGTTCCCATTAACCATGATACATTCTTAACTTTTAAAAGGAAAGAATCTGTATTGTCTTGTTTTCTTTATTGCTACATAACAAACTACCTCAAAATTTAGCACTTTAAAGCAAGAAAATTTTATCATCTCAGATTCCGTTGGGAGCTTGGGAGCAGCTTAACTGACTGGTTCTAACTGGGGCTCTCTCCTGGTTGCAGTCAAGGTGATGGCCAGCACTGCAGTCATCCTGAGGTTTGAGGCTGGAGGACCCACTTCTCAGTTGGCTCACTGACATGGCTGCTGGCAGAAGCCTTACTTCCTTGCCGTGGGACTCTAGGTTGATTGGGTGTCCTCATAACATGGTTGCTAACTTTCCCAGAAAAAGCCACCGAAAAGAGAGATAGGAAGGGTCAGTGCCTTTTTTGAGTTTTTATCTGAAGGCACACACTGTCACTTTCTTTGTTTTTTTCCTCTTTATTAGAATTTTGTCACTCCATCTAGCTCATACTCTGCCTCTCAAGGTGGGGGATTATCAGAGAATTTGTAGACTATATTTTCAGATAATTATGAGAGATTTTTGGCTTATTGTTCATAATTGTCCTCCTGTATTTCTCACAACAGTAGCTTGAGTTTGCCTCTGTCTTTCATTTCTAGGGCCAGCCCCTTGGCTGCATGGATGCTAGCCAGGTTTCTGCTAACACTGGTGATCCACAGGAGCCCTAGGGACAATTTGGGTGGAGCAGTTCTTGAAGGTGTAGGATGGTCCCACGCATTGCAATCTGTCATTGGAACACCTCAGAAAACACAAACATGGTCTTTGGGGGAAGCAAAAGCCATGTCCAAACAAATACCTGGTTCCAAATGTTGAGTGTTTCTCATTTGTGTTTGTTAGCATTACACTGTGACATTTCCAATTTTACGTGGCAATCATTTCACCTCATTAGTTCATTTTACAACTCTTCTTGTTTATATTGGAAGTTATTTGCTTGCTTATATCTCATGTTCATTCTTTTCTCTTTTCCTCCTTGGTTTTTCCCCTAGGTCATAAAATTTCTCACTACCTCTTGGACTCTGCCTCTTATGAAGACTTTCCTACATCTCCCAGCCAAAGTTAATCATTCCTCTATCATTCAAATCATCCTTAGCACATTATTGTGTAATTTATGTCTTTATATATCTCCTTCCCTAGATTATATTCTACATGAAGGGAGATCATCTTTGTCTCCTAAGGTCTAACATAAAGAAAGATAGCGCTAAGTCATGTCCAACTCTTGGACCTATGGATTGTAGCCTGCCAGGCTCCTCTGTCCATGGGATTTTCCAAGCAAGAATACTGGAGTGGGTTGCCATTTCCTTCTCCATAGTGCTTAACTAAATGCTTCTTTAATTCACTGTAGTTCTTAATTGACAGAATATAGTCTGTTTTGGGGGCTTCCCTGGTAGCTCAGCTGGTAAAGAATCCACCTGCAATGCAGGAGACCCTGGTTCAATCCCTGGGTTGGGAAGATCCCCTGGAGAAGGGATAGGATACACACTCCAGTATTCTTGGGCTGGGCTTCCCTGGTGGCTCAGATGGTAAAGAATCCACCTACAATGCAGGAGACCCTGGTTCAATCCCTGGGTTGGGAAGATCCCCTGGAGAAGGGATAGGATACACACTCCAGTATTCATGGGCTTTCCTGGTGGCTCAGATGGTAAAGAATCCACCTGCAATGTGGGAGACCTGAGTCTGATCTCTGGGTTGGGAAGATCCCTTGGAGGAGGGCATGGCAACCCGCTCCAGTATTCTTGCCTGGAGAATCCCCATGGACCAGAGGAATCTTGTGGGCTACAGTCCATGGAGTCGCAGAGTCGGACACAACTTCGTGACTAAGCACAGCACAGCCTGTTCATAGGAATCACTTTCTCCTCTGCTGTTTCTTCATGCTTTAGAGAGAAGGTGTATTTAATAGGATATGTATTCAAGAGCACCCAAGTTTGTAATCTATAACAAGTCAGGTGGTGGAGCGAAAATCAGATTCATGCTGTCATCTTCTTTCCTGGCTTAAAACTATTTGTCCTTCCATGTGCACTAATGGGGAGAACGTTTTAGTTTTTGTCTTCTGTCCTCAACTAAAAAGTAAACCTCTGCTGTAAAAGTTACCATTTCAGTTTGTTATCCAAATATATCTTTGGCAAGTTAAATTGTGTATGTTGTTAATGAGTTATCATATTAGCATTCATAATAATGTACATATTAATGTTGATTCCTGTGATATGATCAGGACAGTTCTATCTGCCTATTGTTTTGAGATTAATGCAGATATCCAAGATTCTTTCTGGGTCTTATTGAAGGGAGAAGGAAAAGCACCTCTAAATATCATTGGAGCATTTTGAGATTTAACAACTGATAGGTAAATTGGCAGTTGGTCTTTGACTTTCCCAGCATGTCTTTAAAACCATACAGTTTAAACATTTAAAATAAAACCCACTGAACACAATACTCATGTAGAATATGCTAAAAATAAAAGGTAAGTTAACTTGGATTTGGTACAGCGTGAAGACATATCAGACATAAAAAACTTGAGGGAAAAATGTCCTGCATCTTCCTTCACTTGGTTATGTAGGAAATGCCTATGTTGTTGCAATTTACATGTCAATAAGTCTGTATATGCGTTTTCCATTAATTGCTTTAATAAAATTAGGTTTGGGTCTTTTAAATGGTCAATGTGAAGTGTGATTCAGAATTAAAAGGAAAGTACTTATTTATTGATTTAGTTTCCATAGATTATTTTATTTCAGACTGAAATAGAAAAATTAGTCTGTCCAATAATCTTTAAATGAGAACAAAATTTAGCATATGCAATAATAGCCAACCTCAGCGTTACAGTTTTCTCTTCCATCCTTTGTTTTAATTTTTCATTACAAGGTAATGTGTTTTTATTTCTTACTTGCTAAAGGAATCTTGTTTGTCACTAATGCAAGTAATGTTTGTGTTCTCTTCACTGTCGTTATTATTGATTAGAAATCTGCACTTTGTCAAACAAGTACATTTTCCCAATCATCCTTAATGAACTGCCCTTGACTTCAGCAGTATTGCTGATTTAGAGATTCAAGAGTGTCCTGAAATTATTCCTACCTTAATTTAGCAAATGCAATTTGGTGCCTCTGCTTTTGAAATTGCTAAACTAATTATTGCTCTTCTTGTCTGTATTTTTTGTTTCCTCTATCAGCCAATACCGCTCCTGAAACAGAAGATGAATCATTCCATCACAATGTCACAGGAACAGATTGCCAGTCTTTTAGCTAATGCTTTCTTCTGCACATTTCCACGGCGCAATGCTAAGATGAAATCAGAGTATTCTAGTTATCCAGATATTAACTTCAATCGGTACGTTTTCAGAGAACACCTTTGTAACAGTAAAATACAAAAGGCTGGCATTGAGTGATTTGCCAAACATTTTATGTACAATTATATAATTTAATCTTGATAGTAAAATGAGTTAAGTGATACTTTTGGCATTTTGCAAGCAAGATGATTAAAGTTCATGGTTACAAAACTTGCTTAGGGTCCAGGAGCCAGTAAGTGACAGAGGTAAAGTTTGAGCCCAGGTCTGTCTTACTCCAAGGCCCTTATTCTTTCTACCCTATCAAGTTGTCCTTCCCCTGTAAGTGCCCTGGATTCCTTATGCCTGTTTGATGTGATTATTTATTCACAGGATGTTTGTTGTACATTTTATTTCTTGTATGCTGAAATCATTTAAGGCTGCACCATGAGTCTTCCTTTGTCTAAAGTGAAAGTGAAGTGAAGTAAAAGTCGCTTAATCATGTCCAACTGTTCGTGACCCCATGGACTGTAGCCTGCCAGGCTCCTCTGTCCATGGGATTCTCCAGGCCAAAATACTGGAGTGGGTAGCTGTTCCCTTCTCCAGGGGATCTTCCCAACCCAGGGATTGAATCCAGGTCTCCTGCATTGCAGGTGGATTCTTTACTGTCTGAGCTATCAGGGAAGACTCTGTAAAGTGTGAGTTAGCGTTGACTTTCACTTTTTACAGACATGATTAATTTATTAATATAATGTTTTTAAAAGAAAGACAAAATAATGTTTAAATTTTTATTAAAGTAGTACATTGTGAAGATATTGATAAAGTTTCAGATTCTAGCCGTTTTCCCAAATTATCACTTTTTCCATAACTTACACAGAAAGATTGTAAAATCTTCTTGGCAAATGAAATAATTTTTTTTCTTCCTACACCCTTCCCCTCACCCACCCTTCCAGTCTCTGTTTTTCGCATGAGAGTTATCTTTTATGAGATCTGTGAGTAGAATGTGAATTTTTCCCCGCTATCAGGAGCAGACCTTCAGAAAACTGTTGGAATGTATGCTCCTCTTTCCCAGCCGACTATGTAACATCCTCCTTCATTACCTCCGTGTAATCCCCATCTCCTGCCCCTGAGGGGTGGGGCAGTAAGGACAGGGGGCAAAGGAGATGCAGCCATGGAGCAAAGTTACATGACTTTGCTCAAAGTGGACAAAGTTCTGTTTGCTGTTCTGTATTTGTGTTCAAAGTTCATTGGCATGGTAATGCAACTTCTTTTAGTTTACCTTTTTGATGTTGTCTCATTAAAAACTTTATTTCAAATTAATTTAGACATGTAAAAAAGCTGCAAAAATAGTACTGAGAATTCCTGTATATAACTCACCTAACTTCCCTTTATTTTAATGTTATTATGTAACCATAGGAAAATTATCAAAGCCAGGAAATTAATATTGGTATAATACTGTTAACTTGGACTTCCCTGGTGGCTCAAGACGGTAAAGTGTTTGCCTATAATGCGGGAGACCCAGGTTCATTCCCTGGATCAGGAAGAAAAATCTCCTGGAGAAGGAAATGTTAACCCACTCCAGTATTCTTGCCTGGAAAATCCCATGGACTGAGAAGCTGGTGGCAAAGAGTCGGACATGACTGAGCGACTTCACTTTCGCTTTCACTGTTAACTGACCTTATTTTAATTCAGCTGTTTTCTGCTGTTATTTTTCTGTCCCAAAATCTTCCCACTATCCCCCATGGCATTTACAGTAGTCCCCTCTTATCTGTGGCTTGCTTTCTATAGTTTTAGTTACCTGTAGTCAACTGCAGTCTGAAAATGTTAAGTGGAAAATTTCAGAAATAAAAAATTGATTAAGTTTTAAATTGCACATCATTCTGAGTAGCATGATGGAATCTTGTACCATCTCACTCCCTCCCACCTGGGACTTGGATCATCCCTTTGTCCAGGATATCCCACCTCTTAGTCACTTAGTAGCCTGTCTTGGTTATCAGATCAACTCTTGAGGTATTGCATTGCCTGTGTTAAAGTAACCCTTATTTTATTTTATTTATTTTTTATTTTTTTAATTAGTTGGAGGCTAATTACTTTACATCATTACAGTAGTTTTTGTTATACATTGATATGAATTAGCCATGGATTTACGTGTACTCCCCATCCCAGTCCCCCCTCCCACCTCCCTCTCCACCCGATCCCTCTGGGTCTTCCCAGTGCACCAGGCCTGAGCACTTGTCTCATGTACCCAACCTGAGCTGGTTATCTGTTTCACCCTAGATAATATACATGTTTCAATGCTGAGTAACCCTTATTTTAATTAATAATGGCTCCCAAGCACATGAGTAGTGATGATGGCAATTTGAATATGACAAAGAAAAGTTGTAAAGTACTTCTTTCCATGGAATTGTGAAAGTAAAAGAAATTCATGCTAGTTTTGCTGTTACAGTCACAAGTTATGGCCACTCTGCCTGATGAGTGCTTAGTTAAGATGGAAAAGGCATTAAATATGTACAGTAGGATATTTTGAAAGCAAGAGACCACATTCATGTAACTTACTATATTGTTATAATTGTTCTACTTTACTATTAGTTATTGTCATTAATGTCTTACTGTGCCTAATTTGTAAATTAAACTTTATCATTCAGTGTATATGTATAGGAAAAAAATATGTATACACAGGGTTCCATACTGCCCAGTGTTTTAGGCAGCTACTGGGGAGTCTGGGTTTCCCTGCAGGTAAGTGCTATAGTTTTCTAAGTCTCCTCTACCCTGTTCTTCTGTTTTTCCTTTTCTTTCATGATGTTGACACTTTCAAAAGACAACTCATCAGTTATTTTGTAGTATGTTCTTCAATCTGGGTTTGACTGACATTGTTTTCACAAGTGGAGTGAGGTCATTGCATTTTTGACAGAAATTCAAGAGAACTGATGTTGTGTCCTTTTCTGTGCATTGTATCAGTGGGCTCTTGATGTTGGTATGTCTTACTGCTGATGATCAATGACCTCACTAAGGTGGTGCCTGCTGGGTTCTTGCACTGTACAGTTACAGACTCTTCCCTTTGGGATTAATAAATATCTTGGGGGGGGGGGGGATTTGTTGACACTATGCAAATGTTTGCATTGTATTTCTCACCACTATCTTTAACAGCCATTGGTGGATCTTGTCTCTAACAGTTATTACTGTAGTGTTTGCCTATTGTGATTTTTTTATTTCTCTCTTTCCTTCTACATTTATTAAAGTTCTACTGTAAAGAAGAGCTATCCCTTCTTACCCAATTTTAGTATCAAAATGGACTTACATATATTTTATTCTGTGAGTTAATATTATTCCATTTGGCCATTAAAGCTCCTTCAGGTTGGCATCTGTGTTCTTTTAAAAAGCCCCCAACCTTTTTTTTTTTTTTTTTAAAGTTTTTTTTTCACTTTCTGGCCTCATGAGGTTCCAGGCTCATCTTATGTTTTATATTACCCAACTGTAGAATCAGCCAATTTTCTCAAGGAATCCTGGTTCTCCTTTTATTGGAGAATGGTACTTGGAGACTAAGATCTAGTTTATAGGTTACTCAATGTTACTAGAGTGTCACTGTTTCTTCTTCTTTTTCCATTTTTTTCTTTTTTCTGGCCAAGCTGCACAGCTTGTGGGATCTTAGTTCCTCAACCAGGGATCAAACCCAGTGAAAGCACCAAGTTCTAACCACTGAACCCACCAGGGAATTCCCATAGAGTGTCATTGTTTACAATTATATAGACAGCATTTCTGACAACTCCACAAGCCAGCGGAGAAATGGAGTCACAATTCTTTGCAATGACATAGAAAGTTATCCCAGATGCTTCTCTCTCTTATGATGAGAAAAATTCTAAAATTTATCTTATTAGTACTTAATATAAATTTTTATTAAAAGTTTATTGTATTTTACTTTATTTGTTTGGCAAATGAAAGTAAAACATGATTTGAATACAGGAATACTTATTATGCTGTAATAATTCTTAGACAATATTTGTAATGCTTTCAAACATTTAAATATCAATGAAAATCTTTGTTTTTGCATACAGTTTTTTCACAGCAGTACTAAGGAGAAGTGAGACAATAAATAATAAACAATTTGAATAAGAGAGTTTCTTTAAAATATCAGTAAGATTGTATTTATTTTATATCATATCTTTGGTTGTGTAAATACCACTTGTGAAGGGCATGTTTTTAGCCTGATTTCCCAAATTGATGTGTTCGCTAATTTTAAGAGAATAGTATTTAGTCATTTAGTTTAGTTCATGTATACAGTGAGCAATTACAGTGTTCTCCACAGTGTGTTAAGTACCTTTAGGTTACAAGAAAAGGGACAAGCCAGTTTCTGATTTCTGTACCCTTCTTTCCTTCACATGGCTTTTATTCCTCTTTTAAACTTTACCTGACACATGCCTGTTTCTGATAGCTCTTGTCCTGCCAGGATAGATGTGCTTGTGCTCCGGCTTGCTATAATAGCCCGTACATACTTATGTTGTATGAAGCGGGAGTCCCCACCGCACTAGGCCACAGACTGGTACCGGTCCATGACCTGTGAGAAGCTGGGCTGCAAAGAGGAGGTGAGCAAGTGACGCTTCATCTGTGTTTGCAACCAGTCCCCATCACGCACGTTACTGCCCGCACTCTACTTCCTGTTAGATCTGCGGTGCTGTTAGATTCTCATGGGAGTGCAAAACCTCCTGTGTGAGGAATTTAGGTTGCATGCTCCTTATGAGATTCATCCCAAAACCATCCCCCTGACCAGGTCCATGGAAAAGTTGTCTTCCACAAAACTGGCCCCTGGTGCCAAGAAGGATGGGGACCACTGATATAAAGAATAGGTGCACAGCATTGTGACACTGTATTAGAGAAGGGTATAATCTAATAAGGAAAACCTTCCTTGAGGAAATATCTTTTGAACTAAGTATGAAAGGGTGAGCAGGAGTATTTTTACCCAGGAAGAAAGGAAAGTTGATTGCATTCTGGGAAAGGGACACAGCCTGTTCAGGAACTGTGGCAGGCTGCACACAGCCTGCTGGGGGCTGAGAACGCCAGGGTGGCTGCA